AAAGTCTTACCCATAACCCTGTCTCTACCATTCTGTCTTCCCTTCTCTAGAGAAAAAATTTTTATTTACTGATTTTCATTTTTGGTTTATCTTTCCACTTTCTCTAGTGTAAGCAGCTGGGGTGTGGCTCAGTGGTAAAGCGCTTGCCTGGCCTGCATGAGGTCCTGGGTTCCAGCCCCAGCCCTGCAATAAGTGAGTAGATCAATAGACGAGAAACAAGCGACACTTACTGCAGCTGCATGCCCAAGGAGCACACTGTCCTCCGATGCTGCACTGCCCCACTGCCTGGCGTCTCTCCACCGGGCCCGGGCAGGCCAGAGCACCTGCTTCTCCTCCACAGGCCTGCATTCTGGGTGTCCTGAACGTCCTGCAGGGTACTCAGCCTTTCTTGCTTGATGGATGCTGGGCTGTGTCCATTTCTTTATTTTCATAGGCCGTGCTGCTTTCCATGACATCGTGTGACTCTGGGGTCAGTTCTCAGAAGTGGGGTTGCTGGTCTGTAGCGTTGCTGGGTAGCTATGCACCACTTCATTTTGGTAGAAGTGGTGCAGACCCTGTGTGCAGGGGCCGTGTGTGGGTGCAGCACGTCTGTGCCCAGCCCCCAGTCACCTGTGGAGTGTGTTAGCAGACTTTGTGGTCTTGTCCGTCAGGTAGGTAGTGCTTGGCGTCTGGTGTCTCTGTCACGACCAAGGCAGGAGAGTCGGAGCCTCTGTGAGCTGTTCTGCTGCCCATTTTCTACAGAGCTCTTGGTCCTTTTCATCTGTTTTTAGAAACAGTCTCTGAATTATTGATGGTGACCTTTGACTCTACTGTAAGTCGTAAATATTCTTTCCATTTGTCTTACTTCACTTCTTCTGTTTATTCACTTCTTTTCTGCCAGCCGAGAGTGTTTTTTCTCTTTTTGTATTTTCATGTAGTTTTCTCTTACTGCTTATGGTTTTGGGAGTCACAGTTGGGAAAGTTCTTCCAAGTTTGAGGTTCTGGAGAAATTCATTCATGTTTTCTCCCATTTTTAATGTTTTTTTTTTTTTTTTAAACATGTAAATTTTTATTTCTGTTCAAACGTATCAGCAGGGCACTGCTGACAGTCAGTGTACTATGTGTTGGCTCCTTGTGTGAATGGAAACCCTGGAAGGGGGCCCGTGCTGCCCTCCAGCTCAGTTTTAGTGAGGACTGCCTGCATCCTGGCGTTGGAGGAGACCGGAGTGCTTATCTTCTGGGCAGAGGAATGGAAGTGTGGAGAGAAGGGACTTGCCCAAGAACACTTAGCTCTATCCTGGGGTGCCGGCTCTTGGCTGGCTCAGAAGAGGAGGCTCATGAGCATCTGCTGCGCGCTGGGTGCTCAGCTGGGCGTGACGCCTTTGTTAAGATGGAGGTCTCTTGTTGTCCTACATTACAGGTGTGGAGACTGAAGAACAGAGAGGCAACTTACTAGTCACACAACTAGTAATAGGCCTCGGACTTCCCGGGGCACTTGCCTAAGCACTTTGGCCCTCCCAGTTGGCGCCCTGTCCCTGTTCATCTGGAGAGGCCCTCCCCCTGCCTCTCGTGTTGATGTGGCACTGTGCCTGTGTGCACTCCCTCTGCCCTTCTCCCACCTCTGCCCAGGTCTTGGAGCAGCTTTTCTTGGCCTCCATGTCCCTGGGCCAGGGCAAGGCCTGGCCTGCTCTGATTCCGAGGGGCCTGTGAATGACCTCCGAGGTCTCCTTCAGGAGTCCGGTGGAGCCAGCAGCAGAGGGCCCGTGTGAGTTGCCTCGGCCTGGCTGCAGGATAGAGCTGGGGGCCTTGGGCCCTCCGGTTGCTGTCTTTTAAGTCACTGTTTTTCACTCATGCATTTACCCAGCAGTTAATCTAGCACACTTGACTGAGGCCTGCCAAGACTACCTCAGAGGCTGGGCAGTAAAGCTTTTGTCGTGGCGTGAGTGGGAGCCAAGGCTGGCGGGAAGGGAGCTCGGGCTCCTGAGGTGCCCAGAGCAGGGTCCCCCGCAGCCCCACTATGCCCAGGCCTGGGTGCAGAGCACTGGCAAGGTCCTGAGAGAAATGGCCCGCACCCTAGCCCTCCTCTTTCTGAGGACTCAACTCTGGGCCTGGAGAGGGAAGGGATCTCCCTGTGCACATGGTGGTCGCTGTGGGCTCCAGGCAGGAGCCTCGCCTGTGCCCTGGGCCTGTGCACTGGAGGCCAGAAGCCACGGAGGCACAGCGAGTCTTCCTGAGAGTCAGCAGCAGCCCAGCACTGCCCACGTTAGCTGGCGGCCCAGCTGAGCCTTGTGCTGGGCCTTCAGGGGTTTTTCATCACCCCTGCAGGTGTCACAGTCTGTCCTCCACTGTCCCCAAGGCTTTGTACCTGCTTGTCTGCCAGGACCTGAAGTTGCCAGAGGAGTCCCTTTTGGTTGCAGCTAGTCTAGTCTGGGCAATGACTTCCCCCTGGGATGGGAGGCACCAGCTGTCCATCTCATCAAAGTTGCCATAAAATCCACTAACCAGACACACAAATGGCCCCTCTGCTGTTTCCCAGGGACTGAGCAGCATGAAGGTAGTCAATCATGTTCCCAGACGATCGCTTAGACGATGGCTCCAAAGGCCAGCCTTCTACTGACAGCCGCGTTATTGGCAGGGATCGCCCATAACACGGCTTGTTTCCCGGCCATTCAGTTTTATGAGCAGCTTTTCTTGGCCTCCATGTCCCTGGGCCAGGGCAAGGCCTGGCCTGCTCTGATTCCGAGGGGCCTGTGAATGACCTCCGAGGTCTCCTTCAGGAGTCCGGTGGAGCCAGTGGGCTGGGCCATTTCTGTCTATTCTGGGGGAATGTATAGAGGTTTGCCTTGGGAGTGGCTGATGTGTGGGTAGGGCACGCAGGCAGTTCTGCTGTAGACAGAGCCAGGAGCCACAGCTCCTGGGCACCTTGCCTCCTCGGGGCCTTCACAACGCCTCCTGCATTCCTTCCTGTTCACCCGCTGCAGAGCCTGAGGGACCGAGGCTGGTGGGGAGCTGTGGTGATGGGCCACATGGAAGCTCGTGGTTCTGGCACAGAGATGGGAGTTGCCCAACATCCGTGGTGCCTGGCCACAGCAGTTTTATATGAGCTGGTGATACTCTGGGGGCTGTTCTGTGGCCACCATGGAGGAGAAATGTCTCAGTGCACAGGCCACACCCAGGGACATGTGCTGGCCAGATTTGCTTCTCTCCTGGTGTCTGGTGCCCAACTGTCTCCAGACTTCCTTTTCCTTCTGTGAAGCTTAGCGATTGAGAAGGCTTTGGGAGAAGAGAGAGGGGAAGGGAGGTGTGCAGGGCTGTTGGGGCCTGGGGTGGCCCATAGAGCTGGTGGTGCTGGGGTGAGACTGGACTCCACTGCTAGACCTGGAGCCAGTGAAGAGGTCTTTTCAGAGCCACCCTGTCAGAGCCTTGCTTCCTTGCCTCCCTTCTCACGAGAGTCGACAGTAACACTGCCTTGGGGTGCTGCTGTTCTTGGGAGCTGGGATGTGCAGCTCATCAGAGCAGGTATCATGCACTGTGATGATGTGCACGGTCCTTTCTCAGGTCCTCCCAGACTGGCAGGTAGACCATGGCAGCAGTAGCACAGCTCTGGGGGCCCTGGCAGGGCTTGGCACTGCATCCCAGCCCACCCTGTGAGGCTCAGGTGTGTCTGGTAGAAGCCTGGTGTGTGGAGAACACACAGGAAGCAAGTGCCAAGTAGCCCCTGCTGCCTAGGCTGCTGTTGCAGGCATCTTTGGGAGAAGAGAGAGGGGAAGGGATAGCTGTTGCAGGGCTGTCGGGGCCTGGGGTGGCCCATAGAGCTGGTGGTGCTGAGGTGAGATTGGACTCCACTGTCTCCCTGTCCTGCATCCAGGGGTCTGCAGGGTGACCTTTTCTGCTCCTTGACCACTTTTTGTGCCTCACGGGCCCACCTTGAAGTCACTTTAGCTGAAGGCTACTTCTGAAGAGACTCAGAGAAGAGCAGTCATTTGTTACTACCCTTGCCCATGAATTTAACCCCAGGAACTGGCCAGTAAGAAACTGAATTGGGGCCCCAGGCATGGGGAAAGGATCTGCACCACTCTGGCTGTGTGACCTTGAGCCAGTCTCTACCTCTCTGAACTTAGTATCTCTCACCTGTCTAAATGAAGTCTGTGGAGGGCTGTATTTAATGGGAATTCAGGGTGTGCACTTGAGAGGGAAAACAGAAAACACCAGTCAAAAATTTTTGCAGACTCAGTTTCTTGATTTGTGAAGACAGTTCATTCCACAGCTGGCAGGACTGAGCTGTGTTGGTGCCGCAGCCGTGTGTTGGCACCCTGGGAGCTGGAACCTCGGCGGCCTGGGCACACTGGCCTTTTCTGTCAGGGTGCAGTGATGTCACGGCATCCTTGTTTGTGAATGGAGCTTCTCTTGGTTCTCGGGTGGCCTCTCCCCTGCCCAGCCCAGGTGGAGTTGGAGCAGCAGAGGGTGTGGAAAGCAGCCTTGAAGAAGCAGAGGGGGCACAGTCAGAAGATGAGGTGTGCCTCCAGAGCTGGAGTGTGTCTGCCACTCTGGCCTTAGGGTCTGTCTCCAGGAATGCTTGCTCCCTGTATCTCTGTCACTCCTCCACGGACAATGGTTCGGGCCTTTGTGAGCTGGGAATTATGTGACGTCGATATTGATGAGTATCACCACGCCCTTGGGGGCCTCGAGCAAGGCCTGGGCCCTTCTTCAGCGCGTTTTCATGGGGCACCTGCTGTTCTCAAGGGGCCTGTGTGCTGGAGAGGCTGGTGCTTCGTTGGACCCACCCATGTGGCAGCAGGGGGACGCGGTCATGGGACTAGGCTGTCATGGGGGAGGCATCACAGAATAGCCCCAGGAGCTGCAGGCACTGGCCTGCTGGGAAGCCGGGGTTCCCCCTCTGCACAAGCACATGGGGCTGCTCTGCTAGAGCGAATATGGCCCAGAACCGCTTCAATAAACCCACCGCCTCCTGGGTGCCTGGGTAGGCACCTGCCCTGTGTGACCAGTTTCTACTCCTACAGGTGGTGAGAGGCTACAAGGCAACCATCCAGCAGACCTTGGACATCCTCTTTCTCCAGGAAGGCTCTGAGTTCCTGAGCAGCACCGACGCTTCTACCCGGGACTCTGCTGACCGTACTATCATTGCCTGGGATTTCCGGACCTCCGCCAAAATCTCCAACCAGATTTTCCACGTGAGAAGCTCTATTTGGCAATGTTCTCAGTTTCAACCCTGACATGTTCCTGTATCCCTGGTCTGTCTGGGTTCCCAGGCCCCTCCTGTGGGACAGGGTTCAGCTGCCTGAAATCTTCAGGATGGGGCCCAGGAGCGAGCTGCCAGCACTGTCTACAGGCCCCCAGAACAGCGCTCCTGCTTTCCTATCCTCACACAGGACCCACCACAGTTGGGGCAGCCCCACTAGATGAAGGGAAAATGGCCCTGTGACCTGAGAGGCCCTAAGCCTCCCACTGCCAGCCCAACCAGCCAAGCAGAAGGGGTGTCTTGACTTCTCTTGCTCAGCATCTTTGGTAGGTGGTGCTTGAAGTAGAACACCTTTGCTAAAGTCCTGCGTTCATCACCTGCAAGGTGGGCCATGGGACCATTATTTAGCCCCCCGCCCCCATACTGGTGATTGTACCCAGGGGCGCTATACCACTGAGCTACACTCCTAGCCCTTTTTATTTTTCATTTTGAGGCAGGGTCTTGTTAAGTTGCTGAGACTGGCCTTGAACTTGCCATCCTCCTGCCTTAGCTTCCCAAGTAAGCTGAGAGGGCCTCTACACCAGCTTATTAAGCCTCTTTTTTGGAGGGGCGTAACTGGGGATTGAACTCAGGGCACTTGACCACTAAGCCACATCTCCTGCCCAATTTTTTTTTGTATTTTATTTAGAGATGGGGTCTCACTGAGCTACTTTGTTCCTCACTCTTGCTGAGGTTGGCTTTGAATTCACGATACTCCTGCCTCTGCCTCCTGAGCCACTGGGATTATAGGTGTGTGCCACCGTGCCCAGTTAAGCCTCTTTAATTTTTACTTTTCCTGTTAGAAAATTAAGAATGAGAGTTAGATGCTATGGCCTTTGCCCGTAGTGTCAGCTATTCAGGAGGCTGTAGCAAGAGGATCACTTGAGCCCAGGAGTTGGAAACCAGCCTGGGCAACATACAAGGCCCTGTCACAAAACAAAAACAAACAAACAACAACACCACCACCAACAACAAAACAGAAAATTGAGGATGATATTCTTTACTACAGAAAGTGGTTTTGAGAATTAAGGGAGAATGCTCATAAAGAGCACCTAGCACAATGCTAGGCGCAGGGAGTGCTGCATTATGTTTTCACTGTCTTTACCAGTATCGGCGCCACATTCGCTGTCCCCCACCAGCACCAGTGTCATCACCACCACTCCTTGTCCTCCCCCCATCATCATCTTCACCATCACTATTACTGTCAGCACCGACACCATCCTGGCTCCCATCATCACTACAATAGTCACCACCTGATCATCACTACCGTCATCACACCACAGTACCACCACCAGCGCCACAGCCACCATCACCACCACCAGCACCACAGTCACCACCACTACAACCACCATCATCACAATCATGACCACCACTACCAGTTATCACAACTGTCCCCACCAGCACCCGTCACCACCACCAGCACCACCGCATCACTACTACAGCCACCACCACCAGCACCACTGTCACTAGCACCAGCACCACAGACACCAGCACCAGCACCAGCACCACAGTCATCACTACTATAGCCACCACCAGCAGCACCAACCCCATTATTACCACTGTTGCCTTTGGAGATTGCAAATCTGAGTTTAAAGTGCTGTCATGTGTGCAGGCCCCTTCTCCTTGTTTTGACGGTTCCAAGTGGCCTGAGCAAATCGACTGCCTCCTCCCTACAGGGGTTTCTAATGCTGCCCACTAGGAAGGAAAGGCCCCGGGAAGGGCTCAGGGGCACGCCTGACCACGGAGGGCACCTCTGACCATGGAGGGCACCTGTCTGCAGGAGCCCGTAGAGACCTGGAGCCAGGCTGATGAAGCATGTCCTGCCTGAGCTGCTGGCCGGGCACAGCTGCCTCCGTGCTCTGTGGGGCAAGCAGGTGCTGTGCCAGCAGCTCACGCCAGGGAGCACATCATCCGGCCACCGTGGCTTCTGTGCCTCTGATGTATATTGTCCTGAGGGCTCCTCACTTTGTCCTCTTGAGTGGGGTCATTTCAAGACTCTGACTTAAGTCTCACACGTTAAAGGCCAGGTCTAGTTGAGGGGGGAGTTCTTAGAGTTCTTTCTGTGGGGACCCCACCCCCTTGTGATTTGAACAGTTTATTCCCACTTTACCTATTCATTTGGCCATTTACCTCCTCATTTCCTGGGCCTTTTGGCTATGTGAGACCCTGGGTTGGGCAAGGCTGGGCCATGGGACTGGGGTTCACCATGGAGGTAGGGAGGTGGGCAGGACCACATGAGGCAATGTCCCAGGGCTCAAGAATTAGGATGTGGATATATTTGGGGGCCATTTTTTATCCTGCCACAGGGTTTCAGGTAGCTTCTAGGAGCTGGAGAAGGGCAAGGAAATGAGATCCCACACAGCCTGGTGAAGGGACACAGCCCTGAGGACATCCAGATTTTAGCCCAGTGAGAATCCCATCAGATTTCTGACCTCTAAAACTGCACAATAACTTTGTGTTGTTTTAAGCCACTAGATTACAGCGGCAGTAGGAAACTCATTCAGACCTTCAAGCCAAGGCCTGGCGGGAGGGTACCAGGCCTCAAGAGCAGAGTGAAGGCTGGAGGTGAAGACCCCCGGAGCAGCCTTCTCTGACCTTCCTGTGGTCTTGCTGTTTCTCAGGAGAGATATACCTGCCCCAGCCTTGCCTTGCACCCAAGAGAGCCTGTATTCCTGGCACAGACCAATGGAAACTACCTGGCCCTCTTCTCTGCTGTGTGGCCTTACCGGATGAGTAGACGGCGGCGCTATGAAGGACACAAGGTACACAGAGCCTCCTGGTAGGCAGCACCAGAAATGGACTTGGGGCCCAGGGCACGATCCTCTGTCTGGGTAGATTCTGCCTTCTCTTTCCTAGGCTTTTGTCTACCCCAGATCCTGGGCCAATCTGAAAGCACTAGTGAGCTCATAAGGACAGTGGTGGAGTTGAGGGCAGGAGCAAGCCAGAATGGGCATGGGGCCATCTCTGCATCAGCCTCTTCCCACCCAAGGCCTCCTTTGCTGGGCAGAAGGGGCCAGAAACTTATCACTGAGGCTGCTCCAGCCGGCTTCCTCTGGACCCTCCTTGGAATGTGGCACATTCCAGAGCCTCTCAGAAGAACTGGCTTGGCCTCAGGGCTGCTGGGCCTCAGGTGTTCCTCAGTAGAGTGGAGTCATAATCCTGATGCACAGGTATCCTTGAGGACTGGGTGTGGCCCACTCACCACCCCCATGTCTCTACAGGTCGAAGGCTATGCAGTGGGCTGTGAGTGTTCTCCGTGTGGTGACCTGCTGGTGACAGGCAGTGCTGATGGCCGGGTCCTGATGTTCAGCTTCCGCACAGCCAGCAGGGCATGTACGCTGCAGGGGCACATGCAGGCCTGTGTTGGCACCACCTACCACCCCGTGCTGCCCTCCGTCCTCGGCACCTGCTCCTGGGGAGGTGACATCAAGATCTGGCACTGATCCCAGCTGGGCCTGGGGCCCCCTTCTTCCTCAGGGAAGGGAGTTTGGGCACTGAAATTGGCTTTGGGTTGGACCTAGGCAGATGCTGCCTCCACCACCTGCTGAACCTCTGTTTCCTCATTTGTAAAGTGGGGACAAGAATCTGTCTCAGGGTTTTGAAGACTACATGAGTGAAAGCACCTGCCAGGTGGCCGGTGATGCCCAATAAACGTTGCTTTTCTACTTCTTAGGCTATGTCAGCAACAGATGTGCATTAGCAGCTCTCTCCTGCCACCCAACTCCCAGGCCCACTGGGATGCTGAAGACAAGAGAGGGCAGGGGAGCTCGAGGTGGGCCATTCTGCTTTGCTGATCCTGAGAGGAGTGTCTCCAGGGCCAGCGGGCTCTGCGCCTGGCTCTGCCCTTGGGAACCCTGTGCTAGAGCTCTGTGGCCCTGCCAGCCTCACAGGGCCCCAGCCCCTTCCTCCCGCACAGTATGTCCATCTGGTCCCTGCTCTGCCCAAGACTCGCATCCCCTGGGATGACTGACTATCCTGGGGAAGGGGTGATGTGGAGAAGCAGTCCCTGCAGAGCCTCGCGGAGCTGGGCTGGGTGAACCTTGACTCCTCAGGGGCCTGGGCATGTCAGTGCACACTGAATCCCACCAGAACTGTCGTTGAGGGGCCATGCCTGCTAGGAGGGCACATGCAGAACCCAAGGCCCCCCCCACCCACCAGCAGATGAGGGTGGGGACCCCAGGTGGCTTGGAAATCCTCCTGGAGGAGGCAGGCCTCCAGCTGGCAAGGAGGGCATCCTGGAGGGCAGGCAGCAAGGAAATGCTGAGGATGCGAGGAGGAGGCTGGGGCAGGCTGAGAGCCGTGCAGCTTGTCCACTCACTGCTGCTGAGACGTGGCAAGGCACCTCCCCTCCCAGCCTGTTTTCCATCTACAAAGTGGGAAGTCAGAGGAGCTGGCCCGCAGGCTTGCTGGGGGCGGGGGCTGAGGAGAGGGCAACTCTCTTGGGGTGTCGGGCACAATGGTGCCAGCTATGGGAGGAGGCTGAGCTGGCCCAGGGCTGCCGTGTGAGGCAGTTCAGTGTGCGCGGGGGAGGGGGGTCTTCTTGGGGTCCACAGGAAGGGTATCCTAGACAGAGGAATGAGCAGAGCAAAGGCCTTGATTTGTCCTGTGCTGAGGGCCTAACCCTTCCACCTTCATCCTTGTGGCCTTGTCCCCAGTCCACTGTCAGAGCAGAGCAGAGCAGTCTGCAAAATAGATGTCATGCAGAGGCAGTGCCAACCGTGTGCTTAGCCTGGAGTGAGGAAGCCGGAGCTGAGCATGGGGTGCAGGGAGAGTGGGACATGAGCCCCAGTGTGCCCTACCATGACTTTCAGGGTAAATGAACTGGTGCCCCAGGCACATGGGGCACAGGGCCCAGATCCCTTGTGCTTCTGTGTTGGACACGGTAGGGACTTAGGTTGAGAGCATCTTATTTTTCTATTTTTAGGCTCAAGAATGGCTGATTTGGTAACAGTAGTCGTGCCCCATATCTAGTGTGCCTGGCCCCTGGAACAAATGATGGCACCCACTGGGCGAGGGCTGTCCACCAGTCTGGGGGAGCTGAGACAGCCTGCATCATCCAGAGCCTGGTGCAGGGAGAGGGGTGCTTCTCACATGGCTGCCCTCCTTCTCACACCTGTCTTGGCCTTTGCCCTTTATTCTCCAATCCGTGGCACTGGGAGCCCCAGGGAGCTCTGAAGCCAGCCCAGGTCATTTCCCACCCCGCAGACTGACGGTTGCCTCCTCTGTGCTCTGATGCTTTAGGGCCTTTGCACCCACAGTCACAGGTGCTGGGCCATTGTCGCTCCCCTGTAAATACCTACTCTCCCGCCCTCATTAGGGCCTTGCACAGACCTCAGGGAATGAGCTTGTTTCACGCTCAGCCCACAGAGCACCTGGCTGCACTTGATGCTGCCCTACCCCCAACATAGTCAAGTGCTCTGAGTTGGAGCTCCTGCAACCCCTGTCCCTGGCCTCTGGTACACAGTTGGTGCTCCAGGAATGGCTGCAGACTTGACCTGTGGGCAGGATGCATGTTGCGGTGTCAGATTGACTTTGACTTTGTTGCTCTGCATCCTGAGGCAAGCTGCATGACTACTCTGGGCCTTGGTTTCCCTTTCTGCAAAATGAGGAGCTGAGGATACTCATCTTGTGGGGATTAGTAAGATTGGTCTGTGCAGCTCCTTGTAGGTCCCCTATGCGGTAGGTACTCAGGCAGTGGCGGTTGGCAGTGTTGATGTCAGGCTGGCCACTTGACAGATGTAGGCATTGCACCAATTTAGGCCAGAGGGTGTGGTTTGACTCCATTCTCAGAACTTGTCATGGGGCCAGAGGTTGGGGGGCCCTGTTGTACCCTTGCAGTCGCGCTGCTCTCCGGGCATTGGCCTTGTCCATGTTGGGTCTCAGGGCTGAGGCTGAGGGGCTGGGGGCTGCCTTCTTTCCTCCTCCCCATTTGATGAGGCTCAGGGAAGGACTTGAGTGGCCGGCTTCTGTCAGGCTCATGGGCCAGGCTCGTGGAAGCTGTGAATCATAGTTCCCAGGATGGCGCTACTTCTGAAGTCCCTTTCTTTTCCATGTGATTCCCCACCAAACCCAGGACCCCATGGATATTTTCATGAGTGTCTCCCCAGGTCCAGGCGCATTTGCTGGATGAGGAGTGGTATATAAGCAGACTGGACATAGTTGAAGGGAGGCCTTGCCTTCTTGGGGCTGCTCGCACCTCCTTTCCTGCCCCCACTTCACTGCCAGCCCCAGGTCCTGGGTCCTAGGTGCCTGCCTTACACACAGCACTACCCTGGGTTTCCATCTTTCCTGGAGTGTCTTGTGACGGGGATGTCCACCACTCTCTGCTGATGGTGTCCTTTCTATTAGCATCATCACTGAATTGCTCCGAGGCTGAGTCAGGCCTCAGCATGAGTGTGCCTTGGCACTACTTCCCTGCCGCAGTCTGGGCAGGGAAGTAGTGCCCCTTCCAGCTGCCAGCACTTCCCCTTCACCAAGACCACCCAGCACCTCTCGTGTGCTGAGCACACACCCAGCACTGTGACCCTGGGGACCTGGAGCTGGGAGACCTGTTCAGATCCAAGGCAGTCCCTGCTTGCATGGGACTGTGCAGGTGCTCTGCTTCTGAGCCTGTTTCCTCATCTGTAAAGTGGGCCAGTCGGCAGGAGCAGGGCACATGAGGCAGAGGTGAGGGCTTTGTAGATCATCTCCCTGAAATGCCATCCACACCTCTACCTCTGAAGTCCCTTTCTTTTCCAAGCTTGAACAGACCCAAAGTTGTGACAAACAAAACCAAAGTTGTGACCCTCCTGGGGCAGGGGGACAACTGGAAGCCCACTGTGATGGCTTCTTAGGGCCATCCCTCTGGGACGGGAACGCAGGTGTGGGAGCGGCTGCCGGCCTGCGCCTCTGGCTGTGGGGCTGTGGAGTTGGGAAGAACGGGCGGGTGTGCTCGGTGCTCCTGGCTGTTTCCTTTTCCAAGTGTGTTCTTCCAAAGAGCAAAGACTGACTTTGATCCTTGGCAAGGTGTTGGGGAGTTCACCATTTGCAATTTTAAAATAAGAAAACTAAATTTAGGAAACAGAGCAGGAGTGAAGAGCGTGGGCTCCTCTCCACCCACCTTCCTGGGCTGAGCGCTCACCTTTATCTACCTTTAAAACCCCAAATGCCAGCTCCGAATCTGTGCTGGGAGCAGCAGCTTCATCCCGAGATACTGCGCAGGCTGTTGGCTGCCTGCTGGCCTGTGCACCGGGTGTGGCTGCGGCTTTTATTCTGAGTGGGACTTGGGTTCACAGCTCCTGCAGTGTGACCGTGATCCCCACCAGTCACTGAGGAAGCCATCTCTGAGGGGCCAGGGCTGCCTGACCCTAAGGATTGTGCCTGACTTCCAGTCTAGCTAGGTCCTTTATAAAGTGGGGCCGCCCACTGTCTAGAGGGGCCCTGGAAGTGATCAGCATCCTCAGGCTGCAGAAGGGGAAACTGGGCCAGAGGGGACCTGGTACTTTCTGGGGCGGCATGGCCCACTGGCTGCAGAGCCCAGCCGTGCCCTGTTGAGTGGAGGTTGAGACATGGATGGCTGGGTGGGTGGGTGGTGTGTGCACAGGAGGAACCTCACTGAAGATGAGGCAGAGGAGCAGGCAGAGGAGGAGGGAGCCTCACCCTGGCTGGCCTGGCTGGCCTGACTGCCTGGATAGATGGGATCTTCCAGCAGCAACCATCCAGCTGTGGCAACAGGTCAGAAGGCCTGAGCCCTTGGGGAGGCCCTGGGAGTATCAGCAGCTCCTGGAACTCCTAGCTGTCACGTCTGCAAAGAACTCCTACTCATCCCTCAGCACCCAGAAGGAGTCTCTCCTGCTGACCCCTTTCACTCTTTCTCTTAGAACAGTGAGAACCCTCCCCTATTTGGATAACACTGGGCCCTCTGTACTTGAAGCCCTGTTATATCGGATGCCTCCCAGGAGAACCAAGTCCCTGTGGTCAGCATAGCTGGACAGCTGGGTTCAGCACTGGGGAGAACAGGGAAACACCAAGCCCCAGCCCAGGGAATTTGGGGAGAGAAGATGTGGGCCAGAGCTATAAGCACCTAGGAGTCCCAGTGTCCTACTGAGCCCACTTAGAGCCAGGAGGTTTTGGAAAGGCAAGTGTAGGTTCCTAGCCACAATCCCCACCCAGCCCTGAGCAGGCGCCCAACCATCTGAAGTGCTCTGGAACAAGGCAGTGGTAGCTCCAGTTGTGGCTGCCTTTGGAGGCCGGGGCAGGACTTCAGGCCATGAACCACACCTGGAGAAGCAGATATGATACTCCTCTGGAGGAGGAAACTTTTGTCCTAGGCCTGGCAGAACCCCCCTAGTACACTTTCAAGGACAAGAATGAGCATGCATCAAAGATAACCAGGAACATAAAGAAACATGGCAACATGAGCAGGAACCAAAGAAATAGACCCACGTGATTCCACAAGATGGAAGGAGCAGACACAAGCTGGAAAACAGCTCCAGGGAATAGGGAGTCATAGATGGTAGCACAGTGATTTGCAGGAGAACCAAACAGAATGTCTGGAAAAGGAAAACACAGGCAATTGAAATAAAAAACTCAGTGGTTATTTGGCAGCTGAATGAACACAGAATCAGTGGAAGACATCATGTGGATTACAGCTAGGTGACAAAATTAGGGAAATGGTTAAGGGAAAGCAGGGGGTACAGTTGGGGGGCTGCTACAGGCCTGCTGGCAGCCCAGAGAGAAAGAAAATGGACTGAGAAATATATTTTTAAAAAAACAATAGGGTGGTTTTTCCAGAATTGATAAAATACACCAATCTACTGGTTCAAGACTCGCTGTGAGTCCTAAGAAAGGCACCCAGGTGTACCTTTGGGAACGGCAGAAAGCTAAAAGCCAAAGAGAAGCTAAGTGACTGTGAAGAACACAGCTAGCTTTCAGGCTAATGGCGAGCTCCCCATCCCCATGGGAGCTAGGGTACTGCAGGGAAGACCTGCTAGCGTCTGTCCCGGGCAAAAACAGCACTGGGGACAGGGGTAAAGTGGGCATCCTCAGATAACGATGATAGACAGCCACCAGCAGAGCCGCGCTCAGGAGAGTTTGAGAGTCTGCTTAGGTGGGAGCAGTAAGGCCGAGAGGAGCCTTGTTACGTCGTGGGATGGCAGGGCCAGAGCTGTGCAGGAGGGAAGAACTTGGACTGCTGAGAGCAGGCAAGGCCCCATCTTAGCTGCCCGGAGGTCAAGGGGGGAAAAATAAGTCACACGCAAGTACTTCCCACTTGTGTCTTTTATTGATGAATGCAAAACACAACACTGACGGACAGGCATGCATCACGGCACAGAGAGCAGGGGTCGGGGGGGCCTCATACATCTGAGGTAGAGTAAGGTGGCGCTGGGAGCAGGGTGGGGAGGAGGGAGCACCGGCCATACTGGGACGTCGTCCCGGCCCCACTTGGGACTAGGGGCCACGGGAGAGCTCAGGGTGTTGTGCTGGCCACACTGGGAGAAAGAGTCAAAACATTTCACATCCCGAACGGGTTCACTGCCCCTCCCCGTGGACAGAGCGGTGGGGTCCCCTTGTCATCGGCTTGCTGGGTGTCTCCCCACGAGTGGGGCTTGGTCTTTCCCTTTTCAGGGGCAGGCCCCACGCACCCTCGCCCCAGAAGTAAGAGCTTTGTGTGGAGAACGCCAAGGCTGCCGGCCAGGCTGCTGGGGCCAAGCGCGTTAGAAAGACCCTTTTTCTCTATAAAAATAGTTTCACTTTATAAAAGGGGAATGCTCACCTCGGGTGGGGGTGACAGTGCGTGACAACGTTCTAAGTGGGAATTCCAAGTGGGAGTTCCATAGTGACGAGGCTGGGGTGGACGGACAGGATGGGGAGCGAGGGTCCCCCTCTCAGACTCTACTGGGTTGTGGAAGAGGGGGTGTCGGGAGCACAGAGTCCTCCTTGGTGGGGGCTGGGGAGTGTGGGTGTCTGGGGAGGGACTGCCTCTCGGCTTCCACAAGGGTGGGGCAGTAGGGGGCGTAGGCCCCGGCCGCGGCCTGCACGCAGCGGTCAGTTGAGCAAGGTTCCGTAGAGCTGGGCTTTCGTGAGGCTGTCCTTGCGGCTCAGCCCCGAGCCACCAGTCCTCGGGAAGGCCTGCTGGGGGCTGAGGCGGGCGGCAGGGTGCATTTCCGGCGAAGCCTCCATGGAGCTGGGCTCCAAGGAGTCCCTGGAGCCGTGCTCAGGCTCAGGGCTGCTGCCAGCTCCACACAGCTGCACCCCCAGCCTGTCCCTGTCTCCCTCGCTGGGCGCATAGCCAGGGAGCGGGTCGGCAGATCGGCTGGGGCTGAGGCTCAGGTCGCCACCTGCCCGCAGGAAGCAGGGCTCTGCCAGGTGACCCTGGGAGAGGTCGTCGCCCTCCGAGAAGCTGTCGGCCTTGTAGGTGGCATAGAGAGGGCTGGCGTGGCCCTCAGCCTTCTGGCCTGGGCTGCCCCCACTGCCACCGTAGTAGCGTTCGGAGAAGCTGCAGGGCGAGGCCCGGCCCGCGGTGCTGGTTGGATAGGAGTAGGCACCAATGTCCTCCACGCTCAGGGGCCGCCACTGACCCCGAATGTCTTCTCCAGGGAGCCGGGCGGACCCCGGCTTGGCCCGCAGGCTCCATAGGTTTGGGGGCATCAGGGCCTGCTGGGGGCCCGGGGTGGCTGGGAAGCGGAAGGACTCGGCTGGGTAAGGAGACACTGTCCGTCTGAATCCTGGGGCCACCTCAGCCTCGAGTGGGGCTGCCACCGCGGCCGCAGCCTTGGCAAAGCGAGGGCTGCCCTCGTAGGTGGCAGCCGGCGGCTTGCGGTTGAAGAGCTCGTCGCGGCTGTTCAGGTAGATGGCCTGCTGCGAGGCGGTGAGCGTGCTGGCCTGCGCGTGCTCCTTCTCCTCCGACGTGGCACTGAAGCTGGAGTAGGAGCTGGACGTGGGCAGCGAGCCCGCGTAGCCCGGGAAGGCCTCGCGCCGGAAGCCAGCGGGGAAGGCCGCTGCCTCGGCCTCCTCCTCCTCCTCTGCAGCACTGTCCGTGGAGTTCTGGGCCCGCAGGAAGCCCACATCTGTCACGGGTGCGTCCACGCTGGGTCGCCGGTCACGCCGCCGTTCTTCCGGGCAGTAGAGGGCTGTGTCGCTGCAGTAGATGTCTCCTTTGTATGGGGGCCGCGCGGCCTGCTTCTCCACCCCATCGCGGAAGGCCAGGTCACGGGCCGAGGCATCTGACAGGTGGGAGGACAGGCTGGCGGGGTCAGGCTTCTCCAGCACCTTGGCGATGACGCAGGTGGGGACGCTGTCGGCGTAGGCCGGGTGGCGGAGCTCGGAGGGCAGGCTGCAGCCGAGCTTCTCCACGTGCAGGCTCACGCGCTCCTGGAAGTCCGAGGGCAGCTGGAACAGGTGCGAGGGGAGGGGAGGGTGGGGACGAGATCACAGTCAGCACGGAGGCCCAGCCCTGGCCCTGAGGCTGAGGACCACGGTCAAGCGTGACCGACAGGCAGGCTGACAGACACGTGGAAAGGGACATCCCGGGGTTCTCACAGCACGCCGCAGGAGCCAGGGCCTAGGATGCCGGGTTGAACAAGTGCCCAAGCACACGGCTGTTGTCAGCACCTGGGGCTCCCTGGTCATCTCTACCTGCCCCACCCATTCCCGACAGGGCAGACAGAACCCAGAGTCAGGCCAGAGCAGCTGGGACGGGCCTGGCTTGGGCCTCACTCCCTGCTCCTGCCCAGGGGCTGACCTGCTCTCAGGCCCATGGGTTCCGAGCACCCACCCTGTGCTGCAGAAGGAGACAGACTCAGAAACAGATGCAACGAAGATTGAGGCCAGGGCCACGCACCCTGTGGCTCCCGTGCCAGTGGGCGATGTCCCGCTACTGTTTGATCTATTTTGTGAGCGTGTCAGGTGTGGCCTGGGCCCAGGGGAAAGGGGACTCGGACAAGGGCCTGGGTGGGAGGGCTCGAGTGTGGGTGGGCTCTGTCCCGTCTGCTTCGGCACCTGACAGGCCTGGTTCTGAGTCCAGGTCTGCTCTCTGCTCACCATGGCCCTTGGTCAGTCCTGTTCCCTGAGGCGTGTTTCTTGTCTCTAAAGTGGGACTGTCATTGTGCCCAGTCCCCAGGGCTGCTCTGAAGTGCGCACGCTCTGGATGTGGGCTTGCAGCAGAAACAGGAGCAGCCCCAGAGGAAGCAGAGGAAGAGGGGTGGGTACAGGGAGTCCTGGAGAGGGCCACAGGCTGTCCAAGCCAGGGCAGGCAGGATGCGTGGGGGCAGTGAGGCCAGGACCCGCAGGTGTGAGGAGGTCGAGGGGCTCAGGCTCACCCGGCATCTTCCTCCTCAAGGGTGGGGGTGGCCTCGGGGTGGGGCCGGCCCAAAAGGAGCCCAGAGTGGTCCTGGGACAGGGTGGGCCTGGCTGGGGCGGGGTCACGTTACCTCGGACACCTTATGGACCCTGCCGTAGGTCTGGCTGCACTGCAGCAGCTGGGCCGCTAGATTGCAGTCCTTCCTATAGAGCTCCTGGAAGACAAGAGAAGGCGTTTGGCGCAGCTCGCCCTGGCAGGTCCCTGCTGCCCTGACCAGCGCCGAATGGCCAGTGGGCAATGGGAGGGTGGGCAGACCCGGCTCTGTGGCTGGCAGGACAAGGACGGACTCCCGGCCTCATCCCTCTGGGCTTTGCGTTCCTGCCCGCAGGTGAGGGCCTGTTTGGACCTGGAGCTGCTGGTGTGTGCAGGGTCCTGCCAGACAGTCCTGCTGCTGCCCAGACGTGGCCCGGGGCCCTGCTGAGACAGAACCTCCCACAGGTGGGGCAGTGGAAGTGTAGGCCCCAGGCTTGTCCACCAGGTCTGGTCTCCCTGCCCCTCAGCCCCCGGGGGGTCCTTCCAAGATGACCTGGTGGGCAGTGACAGGCAGGAATGAGGGTGGTTCCCCAGCCCCTGCCACCCTTAGTCTCAGACTTGCTGCTCATGCCCCACTCGGAGTATTGCCTGGCCATGGGGCTGGCTGGGGGGGCGCTGGGCTGGAGTGGGAAAGGTGTGTGACTCTGGGTACAGACAGGGACTGGTCAGCCTCCAGAGCTAAAAACAGATGCAAACAGTAGGACTTAAGGGGATTTGGCTGACTTTGAAAATCTCTGTTGCATGTGCCTGTGGCTGCAGAGGCCTTCACCCACTCCAGACCCACAGCAGGGCTCTGACCATCTACCTGCCTTGCCCCGTGGTGCTCCTGGCCAGGGCTGCTGCCAAAGTCCAGCTTAGCCAGGACCAGTTCAGGCAAGGTGGTGCACAGCATGGGCACTCCTTCCTGCCTCCCCCATGTCCTGGAGCCTTCTGCAACCCCACCCTCACTGAGGCTGGTGCCCCAACTGGCCTGCATAGTGGAGGGAACCTAGGTCTGCAAACCCCTCTCAACACTCCCTGGGCCTCCTAGGAATAGTAAAATTGAGTGAGAACTGAGAACTGGCCCCTGTGAGGCCCTTGTGAGGCTGCCTCATAGAGCAGCCAGCTCTGGTACTGCCCAGCCAGCCTGGCTCTGCCATTGCACCCCCACCAGCCCAGCCAGTAGGGCATGCCATTTGGAGGCCTGGGACAGTTTCTGCCATGCACATGGTCCCCAGAGTGAGGACATAACACTGGCAGGGCCCCTGGCTGGGCACTGTCCATGTCAGAGGGTGTCAGGTTCAGGTTCTTCCCAAGGGGCAACAGTTGCTGGCTCTCAGGCGAGAAGCCATGGCCTTCTCAAGCAGAGGGAGCAGGAGGGGGTGCTGCACCTACTAAGAGCCTGGTGCAGCTGAAAGGACCCGGTGGCCTTGAGCCCGAGCTCTGCTCTGCCTGTGAGCCACCGCTGGTGATCTGGTCACTGAAGCTGGCTGTGCCTCAGTTTCCACACATGCACTACCCACACAGAGATGTGCCAGAAGGGGTGGCAACTTACGCAGAGGGCCTGGCCCTGCACTTGAGGAGAGGTCTCCCCATACCATGTTCTCTATGCCTGTTGCGAGAGCCACACTGCGTGCAGGAGTGGTCTGGGCTTGGGGCCTCCTGTCCCCACCTCTGGAATTGCCTCTTCACTATCAGAGGCCCCACTCCACTCAGCCTCCAATCCCAGAGTCCCCAGATCCCAGGCTGCTCTTGGCCTCCTCTTACCCGAGCTCTCAGCAGCTGTCACCCAGCTGGCCAGCTTGCTGAGGACCACCTCCTCCTCATGTGGCTTGGGCCACCACGCATGCCTGGTGTCTCCCTCTTGCTAGCACTCACTCTCAGTTGTCCTTGCTAGTTCCAACTTATTAACCAACTTTGGAGAGTCCCCGTGGCCTGTAGCCTCCCCTCTCCTCCCCTGCACGCACTGCCTTGTGACCTCAACCCACACGCAACAGGCTTCCATCCAGCTCCACACCCTGGTACCCAACCACCCTCAAGACCGTTCTCTTTGGATGCAAGCCTCGCTGCACCCACACCAACCCCTCCACAGGTGGCCATGCCTTGCTCAGGCTGCGATCCCTGGGGCTCGCTAGACTCATCACCTGCCTTCACGCCACACCAAGGGCTCGTCCTGTCGCCTCTATCTTCAAAATGTTGCCAGGAATGAGCCCTTTGCCCCACCTGCCTGCCACCATCTTGGCTGCCACTGCTCTCTGTCCTGTGGATTGTGGCCTGGTCTCCTCTGACCTTCCTACCGCTGCCCTCAGCAGCCCCTGCACTGTGTCCTCACTAGCTACCAGCCCAGTGGAACTGTAAGTGCAGGCACACTGCCCCTTTGTTCAGGAGACTTCGGGGGCCCCTGCCTCAGACTACAGTCCAGATTCCTGATGGACCTTGTGCAGTGAGGCTGTGCTCCCCACTCCCAGCTGCAACAGCCCCTTTGCTTTTCTCTAAGTTGGGCTGGGCAGCATGGCCCTTCAGCCTGGAAGAAGTCCTCTCCAGGTGTCTGCAGGGCCTCCCCCCACCCCTGCCTTCAGGTCCTGGCTCAAGCAGCCTGTTCCAGAAACACCCAGCCAAGTCTGCAGACCTTGCCACTGGCAGCTCCTCGTCCTGCTCCTGGCTCCTCTCCTCTCTGCAGCAGAGCCCTTCTACCATCTCTAGGGCTGTGCAGTTACTGTCTGCCATCCCCTCTCTGATGTCAACTCCATGTGGGCGGGGGAGGGGGGTGTAATTTTTTTTGCCCGTGCTGTTCATATCAAAGTCTCAGGATAGCTAGATCTGGCAAGGGGTCGATCAATGCTGAGAGCATGGTCGCTGGAAAGTGCCCACCCATTTCATGGGGCCTCTGAGGACAGGCCTTTGGGCAACACTGGGGCACGAGTCCTGAGTGCCACCACCCCACCTGGGGCCAGGAAGCTTCACCCTGGGTGGGATAACCTGGCCTCCCATTCCCTCCCTAACTCAAGCCCTCCCAGCAGAGGGTCTCTTGGGGATGCCTCAGCAGCATGTGGCCCACCTGTCCTTCCCCAACTGCACCAGCACTCCTCAAAGTCCTGAACACTTTGCCCAGCCACCTGTCCCCTGTGCCAGGTTGGGGCCAAGCCCCTTGGCTTGGAGCTCCTCCAAGTCAAAAAGGCCCCAACTGCCAGTGCTCCCAGGAAGCCCCCTCAGATGCCCCACTGCCCTCCGTGGGCCAAATGCACACGGCACTTACGTTGTCCTCTGACAGCTTGTCGATGGTCACCTTGGCCTCCAGGAGGTGACTGTTGAGGGCGACAATCTCATGGCTCAGTGCACGCTTCTCTTCCTCATAGTGCTGGCCCTGCGGGACAGGGAAATGGAAGGAGGTGGTCAGTGGTCAGCTCTAGCAGGCTAGCTCAAGGCCTGTTGGATTAGGCCTCCTGTGTCCCAAGAGCCTGAATGACATGGTGCTGGGGGCCCAGGTTGCAGGGGTTAGGAACATGGACTGACCCAGGTTTGAGGCCAGCTGCACCACTGACAAGCCCGATGACCCCTGGCAAGTCACTGCCTGCCGAGCCTCGGTTCTTTATCTGCGACACAGGCCCACAGCATCCTTTCCCAGGAGTTTGGGGATGGCTTGTGTTCTGTGCCTCACAAAGCCTGCCTGCCTCACTCGACAGATCAGGAAACTGAGGCTCAGAAGAAAAGGGGCCTGTCCAGGGTCTCAGCAGAGCCAGACCAGCCAAACCACAAAGAGAGGAACCTGTCCTGACCCCCGAGCTGGAGTCGCAGATGCCTTCTCCTTAGAGTCAAGACCAGATGCCCATGGCCACCATTGCTATTGTTCCTGCCAACACACAGAGAAAAGGCAACACCAGGTGCTATGTGGGTTTCAAGGGTCTCAACCCCCACGAGGGCCGGGCCTGGGGAATGTCCCCAGGAAGGGTGGGTTGACGCTCAAGCCCACCTCAGACTCTCGCACCACCTGAAGGAGGGCTCCCCTCAGTCCCTGGGCAGCTGAGCCGACTCCATCCCAGCGCAGGCCCTCTGTCCTGCGGCTCTGCTAGCACAGCCGGACGGGCTGCTTGACCTGATGCTGGCGCAGCCCGGGCAACCCAGCCCAGCCCTGTCCTTGTCCTGGTAGAACCAACCCAGTCCCGGAGCCATCAGGAAGCGAGATCTGGGACTCAGCTCCTGATTGAGCCAGGGGATGCCAGGGGCCACTTCCCCCATGTGCTCAGAGTCACAGGCCCTAGGAGGCAGTGCTGGATGGGGAGTGGCGGCAGGGTGACCCTCACCATACGGTACAGCTTGCCCTCCAGCTCCTGGTTGATTCTCTGCAGTGCCAGGTAGTTGCTCTGAATCCTGTGGCAGGAGGGAAAGGGTCATTGCTATGCAAGGTCCAGCCTTCCCGCACCCCTGTGGCCGCGCGCCTTTTGGGCAGGCTGGAGCTGAACTTCCCGTCCTGTTTGCCCCGCCTTGGTTGAATGTGCGCTTCCTCCCAGAGCAGAAACCACCTCATTAAGGCCGAGTCTCCTCCAGGCTTTCCTAGGCCAGGCCAAGGCCTTGTTGCCCCCACCCCAGCAGGATCAGTCAGGTCCTCTGTCCCGGCCAGCTTGCTCACATCTTCACACAGCTCTTACAGTCCTCGCGACACAGCTGACAGCGCAGCTGCACGTTAGTAAGGAAGAGACTGAAGGCATGGGATGGACCCGGGGCGTGAGTCTAGATGGAAGGAGGAGTGGAGGCAGGCCTCAGGTGGAGGCTCTGTGGATCCCCTCCAGTGGCAGGGGCTGGGGGGAAGCTTCCATCTTCTACACAACCTTTGGGTTGCGTCCTCAGCCCTAGCTTGCCAGGGGAACTGACACAGAAGGGCGGGTATGAGGCAGGCAGTGGCAGTGGCCGTGATGGGGGTCTGGCCGGGCTTGGTTTCCACACAACAAGATGGTGACATCGGAAGGCTCAGCAGGACGGGGCCATTCAGGGAGGGACAAACATCCCTCCTGGCAAGCCCCCCTCAGGGCAGTACCAGCTGGTTCTCTATAAATATTTAAAACAAACTAAACCAACAGCAAAGCTGGCCTTCGCTTCCATTCCCTGTGTCAGATGCGAAAGTGCATGAGGGGTGAGAGACACCATCCTACAGGAGCAGTGGTGCCGCTGGCCAGCGTCCAGCCCCAGCCACTCCAGGAGGGGCCCCAACTCTGCATCTGTCTCCTCTCCAGGCCCAGACACCACGTCCCCATCAGGACCCAGGGTGCCACTGGGGACCCTGCTGGGCCAGTCGCCTCTGGAGACTGCGTCTATGTCATGCTGCCGCCACACCCAAAATGAACAGGAATGAGGGGCTTGGAGTGGAGCCGGGCATGGAGAGGGCACGGGGAGGAGCCTGTCCCTGCTACCAGCTGACCCTGTGTTCAGGTCCTGGCCTGCTGCTCTGAGCACAAGGTCTGACTTCTACCTGGGCAGTCAGGAGCCTCCTGCGGCAGCTCCCCCAGCGGCCTCACCTGCGCAGCTTCTCGGTGACCTTCTCTAGCTCCTCCTGCGCGCGCCGCAGCTCGATCTCCAGGTAGTGGCGCGTGGAGTCAAACTCCGTCTCCAGCTTCTCCAACTTGTGCGTGGTGTAGGACAGCCGCTTGCGCAACTCACCCTTCTGCTCCTGCAGCGCACTGCAACGACATGCCGCGGTGGCCGGCCGCGCACTGAGCGGGCAGCCGGGCCACGCGGGCAGCTGACCAGCTGACGTGTGCCGTGGGTGCATGCCACGCCCAGGTCGCACTCTCTCGCTCGTGCACACACACAGTTGCCCCCAGCAGCGGCACTGAGGACTTCCAGCCCCAGGGGTCAGGGGCTCTGAGCCAAGTGCCTCTGCTGCAAGTAGGTCCCCATGTGGTCACCTTGGAGTGGAATCTCACCCCAGAACCTTGCCAGTGTGTGAGGGTGGCTTAAAGGGCCCTGGTACAGGGAGCGCCATTGGCCCCCAGGCCTCCCTTGGGAGCTGGCCAGGGATGCCAAGGCCAAGTTGGCAGTGTCATGCTTGAGACCTGACTTCCCTTCCCCTAATTGACTGGTGGCCCCAGAATACTGTGTCTACCTCTCTGAGCCTAAGAGAGGTTTGGGGTGACACCCCACGCCCAGGCAGGACCCAGCAGGGTTGGCACACAGCACTGGAAGCTCAGCAGTGCCCTGCCTGCTCAGGTCCCCTCGGGAAGCCTTCCTGAAGCCAGGGACGCTCTTGGGGCTCCACCTTCCCATAGACTGGGGGCTCCCCAGGATGCCACCTGCTTGCTCACAGCACCACCCAAGACACCAGCTACCCTTCTGAGCCGCCAGACAAGGATTACTTGAAGTAAAGTTGGGCACCAGGCGGGGGCTAGTGGGTGACCTGCCCCAGGAGCTGGTCATGAGCTCCCAGAAGGGCAGGGGCCACCCTGCTGTCCCCGGGGTCAGGGTAGGGGCCTGAGCACCAGTGCTCTGGAGGGGGGCAACTTCTGGCAGGTTTGATGTGGGGTACACAGCAACATCCTGACCGTGGGGAGCTGGAGGAGGTCAGGTGTCATGCTGGAGACCCCGCAGGGCCCGGAGCCTCGACTGCTCAGATGTGGGCAAGAGCCTGTGTCCTCAGGACCTCCCCGACCCAAACCCAGCAAGGGATGTGCAGGGACAGGGGAGGGTTCCTCCGACTCCCAGGAACAGGACCGCTTCCCCGGCCCCATCAGGAGCTTCCTCAGTCTCTGGCCTGCAAGTGAACCACGCGCCTTGCACCCGTGAGCCTCCTTTAAGCATTCTTGGATTCCTGCCCAGGTCTACATTTTTTAAAATAAATAAAAATAAAGAGTTGCTTACATGCTTGAGAATTTCACAGAAGGGCGGGGCGGGTCTTCCCAAGAGTCAATTCCCCCAAAGAGGGGACAGAATAACAGGGGAAGCTCTCAGGCAAGGCCCCCCAGCTGGGGGAGCCCACGCAGGCTGGCTGCTGCTCCACGGTCTTGCCCGCCTCCTCCAGGCAGCCTTCCTGGACTGCCCAGCCTCTAGCATCCTGCGACCAGACTCCAGCTGGCCCCACCGCCCCTATTTTCTTCCCCGTCAGGGCAGCAGACTTCCTGGGTGCCCACATCACCAGGGCTCCCCACTGCAGACAGTGTCTGGTTTGGGGCAGGCAGCAGCCCCTGAGGTTGGATGTTCCCTGAAGCAGCTCGTTACAGGCTCCGCCTCCTCGAGAAGAGGGAGGGCCTTGTCCATTGCTCCAGTGGCCATGTCGGGCCTCACTCCTGACCCCTCCTCCAGCCTCCCCTGAGTACTCTCTGACCAGTTCTGGGGCCTCATTCTTCTGAGGCCAGCAGTTCACTGTGCCCTCACCCAGCCCTGACCCATTTCGGGGGCCTGGTTTCCATGGGACTCCTCAGAGCTGGCTGCCCTCCCTCCCCCATCTTGACTACCTTGCTCTTGGGCACTACTGTCATTGGGGCTGCCAGCCCCTGTCCCCCACCACCCGGCATGCTTGCCCCCTTCCCCACCCGACCCTGGGACTTTACAGCAGGGAGCAGCGTTCTGGCCCACATGGCCCACAGTGGAGAGGGCGGTGAGCAGGAGCGCGGGCCGACGGCAGGCCACCCCAGGGCGCATCTCCGGAACCTCAGTTCACCTGGGCCTCCCAGGGACTTTCTGCACACTGGGTGACTTCCTCTCTGATGGCACCCCAGCCCCTCATGCCCGCCACCTCAAGTTGCACCCAGGCCAGTCCTTGGCTGCAGAGACCACACTGTGGCCACCTCCACGCCCCTGGCTGCAGGAGCCTCCAACTCAGGCTCCTGACATGGTTCCCAGCCCCTGCCACTGTGATGCCCCAGGCTCACCCACACTGGTGTCCCCACCACGTCTTCCCCTCCCTCCCTCTGGCTCCACCACACCCACAGACACCGCCCTCACCCAGGCTGTTCTGCAAAGCCCGGGGCCTTTGGAGGCCAAATGTCTACATCTAGCCCCACCCGGACCCCTCCTGGTCTAATCTCCAGCCGGGTCTCTTGGGCTCCACCCACCCCGTGCCCAGCAGCCAACGGACCCCTGTGCCTCTCACTCAACTATCCAGTGCAGACCCAGAGACCACCTGTTGACTGCCACCTGCACCCCCGCGTGGGGAGGGCCATGGGACCCTTCTGCTGCCCTTCACAGCTGACTCCAATCCTAGAGGCTCAGTTTCTTTAGAAGTTCTGGACAGGAGGATACTGGGTGGTCACCTGGGTCTTGCCACAACCCTGCCTCCTGTCCTCCCTCTCAGGGCACTAACCCGAGCCCCACCTGGCTGTAGCCTCAGTTTCCACAACTGTAAATGGGGTTAGTTGCCCACACATGGGCGCAGGTCTGTCACTGGCCCCCGTCTGGTGGGCACTAAGCCATTGGCCTACAGGGATAAGGCTGGGCTGGCGCTGTGGAAGCAGGGCCTCCAGGCCACTGAGAGCCTGGGGGAGGTGCCGGGGCCCGGGGTCCTGCCTTGGGTCAGGGTATGGCCTGGCGGGTCCCCAGTGTCCAGAAACAGGCCTTAGCCAATGCATGGGGAAGGGAGGGTGCTGTGCTAGCAGCAGCCAGTCGTGGTCCTCCAGGTTGGGGCCACCCTCCTGTGCCAGCCCTGTTGAGCCTGCCACCTGCGGGGCCACCTCGCTTTGATCTGGGCCCATGGAGCTGTCCCTAACCTGGCAGCGAGAGTGGGCTCAGGGGTTCTCCCCTGCCATAGCAGTCCCTGGACAGGAAGAGTCCTGGAGAAGTCTCCCCTCGCGAGGGCCACTCCTGGCCACTCACAGGAGTCAGAGCCTGGGTGGGGTGACAGTGTCCTGCTGGCCTGGGAGACCTTTCTTCTCTCTCAGCCTCCTCATCTGTCTTGGGGAGTCAGACACAGACATGGGATGGATGTCCGGGGACAGACGCAGACACCAATGAATGGGATGGGGGGAGACAACAGGTGTGTTACCTGTCCCAGAGCGAGGGTGAGGACCTGGTCAGGCGGCCCTGCAGGACTCGGGGCTGCCCGAGGCACGAGGGCACCCAGGGGCTGCGCAGCCTGTGGGCGAAGAGGACAGAGCTGCTCAGAACAGGTGGGACAGGCTGGGGGCATGGGGAGGCCAGCGGGGCCACCATTGGGCACCAACCAAGGCCCTCGCTGAGAACCTAAGAGATGGGAAATCCATGTGTTGTGCACCCCATGGGAAGACTCCTGTCTTCAAGGTGGCGGAGGCCGAGGGATTCAGGAACCTCAAAGAGGGGTCCCAGCCGGTGCACCTGTCAGAACTCTCTGGTCACTCTAAAGGGTCTGTGGCATTGAGTCCCAGTGTGGCAGGCCCCTGTCTGCAGGCCTCAGAGGGAGTCATACAGTGGAACAGTGTGTCCCCTCCCCTGCTCTGGGGCTGTCAGTTCTTGTCCTGTTACGGGACTGGGTTCCTGTCTGGCTACTTCCAGTGTGCAAGACCCACTGGTCAGAGACAGGATGCTGGAGAGACAGGTGGTCCCTTTTCTCTGCAGGACTGTCCTGTGGGCTGTGGGACCTGGGGGTGGTTAGAGGATCAGGACCCACTTCACCTCCCCTGGGATCTGGCTAAGCTCCCCGGATATAAGGCCATAGTCTATGGCCATAAGAATAAGGCCAGTCTAGACTGGACAGTGTGGTGTGGGAAAGAGCACAGGTCTAGCCTGGCCTGTTGGGGCTGCCCTACTGGAGGACAGCAGGACACACACCAGCCCCAGAGGACTGCTGTGTGTGGCCATCCCAGCTGAGGGGCTTGTAGGGACGTGGGTGCCAGGACTGACTTGCTGGCTCTGAAGCCAAAGTGGGAGGTCATCCCTGCTAAGAGGGGCCAGTTCCACCACCAAAGAGTCCGATGCTGTCCAGAAACCAGGCCTTGAGGGAACGTAGGCAGAGGCGTGTGCCGGTGAGCGTGGCGTAATCCTGTCTAAGTGAAGAGCATCGTGGAAGGCAGGATATGTCAATTTGTTACGCCTGGGTGGTGGAATGCTGGGTAATTGAAAAAAAATTTTTATACTTTTTTGGATTTCTCATATTTTCCATGGATGAAAAATTAGAAAAAAATTTACTGAGGATCAAATTTGGACACCAAAAAAAAAACAACAAAAAAACCATAAGCAATGATTTCATGGGCTGAGGGGGGCAGCAGAAGCCAGGGGAAACTCTTGGCCATAAGCCACAAGCCTCACCATGGCCACTGCTTCTCTGGGCCTTGGTTTCTTCACCTGTGAAATGGGCCCCTTGCCCCGGGCTTCCTGAGCAGGAGTCAGGAAGGTGGTGGTGAGCAGCAGGTGCTTGGTCTCTGGTTGGACTAGGCTTGGGAATCCTGTCCCAGGGTCCACCCTTGGCAAACGACCCTAATGCTGCTAAGCCAAATGGGCAGGTTGCCTTTGGAGCAGTCAGAACCAACTGGTCAGCCCTTGGTGACTTGAGAGAGGCCAGCCGTGGCCACAGGGGTCCTCCTCCTAGTCTGCATTCTTGAGGTCCCACTGACGGAGCCGTCCGCAGAGACGCTCCTGGTGAGGTCTCAAAGGAGTGGGGCAGCTTGAAGTTGGACAAAGGCTGGGACCCAGGGGGAAACTGAGGCCCAGGGAAGGGGTAGGGCTTGTGAGGTGACCCGAGGTCTGACTCTGGACGCTCACAGGTATTCATTAAACACTAAGACAACCCACTCTTGCTCTGAGCCAGGGAAGACATGGAAATTCTCATTCCTGCCTGCATGTGGGGAACACTACCCTAGAGATGGGAAAAGTGGGGTGTAGAGAGGGTTAGCCACAGGCCCGGGGCTGCACAGCCACCTCGGGGAGAGCCCGCCTGCTGGCCCTCCTTAGACTCCCCTTCTAGAGAAGAGCAGGCCGGAAGCTGCACTGAGCCTGCTGCGGAGGGCCGTGCTGCCAGGGGCCTGCTGGCACTCAGAGAGCAGCCCAGACAGGCCTGGCAGCCGCGGGAGAGGGAATTAGCCACCTCCCGCTCGGCTCCCAGCCGCTGTCAGCAGTGCCAGCAGGGCCCCAGCAGGAGCTGGTGTGGTGGAACCATGCAGCCCTGGGGACAACCAGCCTGGCTTCACCCCTGCCTGGGGGCACAGGGTGCTCTTCTTTCTGCTGGTGGGAGGGCTTGGAGACTGCTGGGCAGAGAAACAGACAGAGGGCTGACCTGGGCCACCAAAGGATTGCCCCAAGTCTTGGCCATGGTGAACAGGACAACCACATGGACACAGGATCCTCACAGGGGAGCAGGAGTGTACCTCTCCTCACAGGAGGGGGCCTAGAGCCCACAGAAGCCGACCTCTAGGGACTTGGAGCAGCCGGGTCCCCTGTTAGCACCTATCTTCCTCCCCAAGGGAGCAACTGGCCCTGGGACCAGCCTAACCAGCTTGGAGGGGCTCCAGGACCAGACGCAGGTCCCTGGGGAGGGGCAGAGGGCAGGACGCTCAGGCTGTGCCATGACTAGTTCCATGCCTCACAGCAGTCCCGGGGAAGCACTCTCACCACCCCACCAGGAGGCAGGAGCCAGCTACCTGTGGAACCCTGCTGGGGCCCCACCCTGCTCTAGCCTGGCAAGAGGCCACAAAGAGGGGTCCAGCCACGCCCAGCGCACCAGACACCCGCACACCCCCCGGGGCACAGCCAGTCACGGCTCTGCCCTTGTCCAGCCAGGCTGCCTCCTCTCCTCCCTGCTGGGGGACAACTGCTCAGACCTTTCTGAGCCGCCAGCGTGGCCCTCACGTCCCTTCCAGGACTCCACCTGCTGCTCCCTCCCAGCAGCCTCCTGGCCCCCCACCCCGCCTTCCACGGCGCTGCTCCTCAGGAGGCTCTGCTCGGCCACCTGCCCTGGGAAGCCCATCTGGGTCCCCCTGCCGAAGCTCCATCTGGGTGCTCCCTGGGGCCCTCTCCTGCTGTGGATGACCTGCCCCGAGCACAGCCCCCGGGGAATCATACCCGACTCTGCTCGACAGCTCCCCACCGGTCCGCATGGCGACGGGCAGGGCCGGGTGGCGGCCTCACCGTCCCACAGTCAGCCAAGGGACTGAAAGCCACTCCCGTCCTGTGCCCCTGATGCTGTGTGGCCCGCAGGCGCAGCTGTGGCCTCAGCTCTCAGCCTGGGCCCGACAGTCATGCTCCAGCAACACCAAATTGCTTGTCATTCTTTACATGCTGCAGCCAGTTTCTCATCCTGGTGACTTTGTCCCCATGTCCCCTCTGCCAGGATCTGTCTTGCTTCCTTCCTGCCCAGGTGAACTCCTCCCCACCCAGCACCTGGGGGTCCTGAAGCCCCAGCTGGCCCCACCCTCCCTGCGTGGCTCCTCGGCAGGGTCCTCAGCGGAGCTGCTGTCCTGTTTCATCACCGGGTGCCAGGGTCCCAGGGCCTCCTGCCCCTCCCCGGCCCCCCAACTCAGACTCCTCCAAGCAGCCCATTGTAAAACCCAGCCAGATCAGATCCTGCCCCTGGTCAAAAATCCCTGGCTCTTCACTGTACCCACACCACGAGCCCAGCTCCCCAGGGACCCACCACTGTTCACAGGGCCTGGCATAGAGCCAGGGCGTGCCTGCATGAGCTGGCCGGACACTGCAGGGCGCAGCAGAGCGACAGCTGACCCGGCTGCAAGGTCTGCTGCACTCTTGCATGGGGGTGGGGGGGGTATGTTGAGGCTGATGAAGTCGGGGGGCTTGCAAAGATCCCCCAAGACTACCTTCCCCCTGCAGGGCCCGTGAGGAGGCGCCAGCTGCCCTGGTCTGGTCACTTGCCCCTGGAGCCTGTGTTCTCATCACATTCCCAACACCAGGGCTGACAGCCAGGGGCAGTCAGGGATATCGTCTGCCCACTCCACAGCTCCTGCCAAGGGCCACCTCCACTGGCTGACACTGACCCTGAGAGGAGACCAAGTGGCCCCCACCCAGCTCCTTCTCTCCCAGTGGGGGTAGCTCCTGGGGGCCCACACCAGATGCTCTGCAGAGGCCACCATGCAGGAGGCCCTGTGCCCCTGTGCCTTCCAGGGGAGGAGCCGGGTGGCGGACCCTCTCACTGCGGGTGAGACCCTCGTGCACCTCCAACTGGCGCTCCCTATGCTCGGAGGCCATGGGTTTCTGCCTGTCTCAGGAGTCTGCTTCCCTGGGCCTTGGTGGTGGCCCTGCTGGTGCCATCTACCCTGCCAGGACCTTTGCAGGCAGGACAGAAACTGTCGACCGGTACCTAGCAGTTGCCTGGGCCTCTCATCACTCCGTCCCCAGATAAGAGAACCGAGGTGCACAGAGGTCAAGGAGCAGGACTCTGGGCCACCGCTCTCCTCACTCCAGTCGCCAAACATCCAGGCAGATCCCTGTACCCACAGGGAAGGCCACCAGGTGAAGACCCAAGACCCCAGTCCCCAGAGAACAGTCAGCAGGGGCCCAAGGAAGGAGGGTCAGGACTGGCTGCCAGGACAGTGGGTCATCGTCTCTGGGCCCACAGCAGGCTCACTCCTGCAGGTCAGGGCTTGCCACTGTCCTCACCTGTCTTAATCAGACCTGGTTTTTAGACGAAGCTCCCAGGTCCCGAGTAGCCCAGGACTCAAAGCTTCACACACGAGTCAGGGCCACAGAAGGCCTCCCAACTCCAGCCTTGGGATGGGAGTACTCAGGGAGGGCCTGCAGGGTGTGTGTGGGCTACCAGACCCACCATGAGGCCCACGGTGCTTCTGCCAGTCAGACCCATGGAGGAGTCCCACTTCCGACTCCCACTCTCTCCAGCGCCACCCTCCGATGCCCCTTGACGCCCTTGACACATCAGTGCTAGCAGCCGGCAAAGCCCCTCACTGGCCCTGTCCTCACTGACCACCAAGGACCGCACAGCCTCCTCAAATCCCTAATCTATCTTCACTGTGCTACCAGGCAAACCCCGCCCTTTAGGGCCACCTCTCCCTCAACTGTGTGCCTGTACCCCTCTAGAGGGAAGGCAAATGCACTGTGGAGGTGACAGGCTCACTTTCCCCTCTGTGACAGGCTGACCCAGCATGGGCTCCTCGGTGGCCAGTAATGAACCTGATAATCAAAGGCTCCAGCCAC